GGGGTCTTATTTTGTCATGGGCTATACTAGTAAAATGACCGTGGGGTAAAAACACAAGCCACTTGTAATTTTACAGTTCTGACTTGAGCTTGCATAATTTGAGGGGTTTTGGTCAAGGGTTAATTTCTTTTGTTCTCCAAAGAGCAAAGCTAGGCAACAACCTTTCCCATCCTTAAAAATACATTAAGGATCAGGCTTTAGAAAACAGGCAATTTCACTGAGTACATTTACCTGTTGGCCGGACTGATAAAAATGTAAAAAGTATAATGCAGGGGCGCCTGGGTGGCTCAGTTGGTTAAGCGACTGCCTTCGGCTCAGGTCATGATCCTGGAGTCCCGGGATCGAGTCCCATATCGGGCTCCCTGCTCAGCAGGGGGTCTGCTTCTCCCTCTGCCCTCTTCCCTCTCGTGCTCTCTGTCTCTCATTCTCTCTCTCTCAAATAAAAAAAAAAAAGTATAATGCCAAGTGAAAAGCAAAATATATCTAAGTACAAGATTCCTGGTTGTTTAGATTTCTTGATTCTTGTCCTAGCAAGTAGCATTTCAATGAAGTAGATTTTTTGATTCATTGTCTGATTAAAAGAAAAAAAAATTGTAAGCCATGGTTATTACAAATTATAAAATATTATGTAACATTGATAACATTTATAAAATTTAAATAATACTAAGAACCCTACTGAGTGACAACAGCACTAGCTCCATTTTGTAGGTGAGAACACTCATTAAATAACTTGGTTTGAAGTCCCACAGCTAGTTTTGGGTAGAACTAAGAAAAGAACTGAAGTTTCCTGAGTCCAAGTCCAATTTCCTTTCCATGACACTAGATTGCCAATCTTGCCCAGTAATGGGACTTGCCCACTTATTATTCCAAGCCCCTGAGGGGTTGAACGGGTATTTTTTTTAGATGCTAAGTTTTTGTCTCTGTGACCAAATACGAAGATGAGCATAATTTCCAGAATTCCCTGCAGAGTGGATCACACAGGGGGTTCAGCAGGCCGTGTCAAATGGGGCTTGCCAAAGGAATGAATGCTGCTCCTGGTCTTAGGACCTGGCTGATCCTTTCTTAAGGAAGTGATCGTTGATGGTGTCTGAGTCAATGATTCCCTTTATAATGTCTCTGCAGGTTCAATTCCAGAAAAGATTCAGGGAAGGGGGTGGGGAGTAATAACACTTTCCATATATTTTATCCCAAGTTTTTCCCCATTTATGATTCTTTGTTGTTCAGAGACTGTTTTTCACTGAAACAAATACAGTATTCAGTCAGAGCAGTTGAGTTCCCTAGCCCAACTGATATATGATTCTATAAAACACAAAATACATGGATTATAGCTTATTGAAACACCTTAAAAGAAGTAAAACCATCGAATCATATAGTATATATTCTTAAATGTTATTGATTTTCTGACTACCTTGTAAGTTACAATTATCAGCTCTTAATCAAGAGTAAAATGTACTCATCAACAGAGGGTTTTTTAAAATGAACTTTTCTTTTTCTCATCTTAGTTTGTATTAAACTCATCATGACCTAACAGAAATTTATAGTTTTTAGCATAGATTTAAGCAGTCTTAATTTCACATCTCACAGATGACCATGTAGCTACTTTTCTCATTAGCATATTAGTATACACACAACCCTGAGTTGTTTTTGTTCAGTATGGTGGCTTTTTTTTCCCTTTCTGAAACTGAATTATTTTAAAAATGTGAAGTAAAAAAAATTTAAAAATAAATAATAAAAAATTTCAAAAAATTAATAAATAAAAATGTGAAGTAAATTGTGTTTAGTGTATTGCAGAACTCAGTGGTGCATCTTTCTCAAATCTGAAATAAAAATGAGAAAATATTTTGAAACAAAAAAAGAGAAAAAAGGTCTTACGTGATATGGTTCAGAGTGTCTCCTCTACAATCAGCTTCAGATTTTAATTTACAGGTCATGGCCTCACAGCAAGGATTGGAACATTCCTTTAGAAGATACACACAATGGAAAAGTGGGTTCAGCATTTTTTCTATAGACCATGTGCATACAATTTTAGTACAAGATAGCAAAAAAATTTCAGTTTTTAAACTAAATTACTCCACTATATAGATTCCAGAGGAAATGACCAAGGAAACTTAAAAATAGAAAATAATGTTAAGTGCAATGAAAACTACCTCTTAAAAGGAGAAAAATAAATTTATCCAAGAATTACCACAAATAAATTTGGCCTAAATGATATTACATGTAAATTAATTTAAAACTTCAAAAGAATATTTCTCTGCTATTCAAACTATTTGAAGGTAGGAAAAAAATTTAAAATTCTCAATTTATTTTACTAAGCCTGCATAATTCTGATAATGAGAGCTGGTAATGAATACACACACACACACACACACACGCACACACTTACACAAATACACATGCATACGCACCTACATACATGCACATGTGCATTCATATGTATACACATGCATCCATACATATACACATGCACACACACATACATATACATACATAATTCTCATTTTTGAATATAAATGCAAAAGCTTGAATGAAATATTAACAAAACAGCAGTTTATTAATATAATAACTCTCCATTACAACTATGCAGTGTTTTTTTTTCACCAAAAATACAAGGGTGTCTCCACAATACAGAATAAAGTAATATCATCCATCACATTAAGAGACTGAGGGTAGAAAACAACTAATATTATTGTGATAGATGGCAAAGATTAGAAAATAATCTACAAAGAAAGAAAATCTGGCTGATAAATAGCAAGAATATATCTAATAAAATAAACAGTAAGACATGGATTATTTATAGTCTATATTTTTATGAAAATTCTGACAAATGCTGTGAGAAAAAGAAAAGATATGAAAGTATAATAATAATTGGAAAGTATAAATCACATTTTCATTCTTTATATGTAATAAAATATTTGACCAAGGAAAAAATAGAGAATCAACTCTAAAAACAATGGATGAGTCACTAAGATCACTTTTTAAGGTAATAATAAAATAACATCAAAAGGAGTAATAAAGTAGAACCTAATATAAAAAAGTAAACATTACACACACTAATAGCAAAAAGAAAAATAGAAAATACTTCAGAATAAGCTTCATCATATGCAAGAACTACATGAAGAACTTTATATTTAACTTTTCTGAGAAACTCAAAAGACAACTAGTCTTTTAAAACAATCAGATTGTGGGGTGCCTGGGTGGCTCAGTCGGTTATGCATCTGCCTTTGGCTCAGGTCATGATCCCGGAGTTCCAGGATCGAGCCCAACATCAGGCTCCCTGCTCAGCGGGGAGTCTGCTTCTCCCTCTGCCCCTCACCCCACTTGTGCTCTCTCTCGCTATCTCTGTTGCTGTCTCTCTCTTTCAAATAAATAAAATCTTTAAAACAATAAAACAATCACATTGTGAAAATCCCAGTGGCCCTCGGAGAGAAATATGAATTTCATGCATTTCAATCAGAATCTCAATTGTATTTGTGAGCAAACTGACAAAAAAAAAAAGTGCCAAGAGCTATATGGGAGAATGAACACTGAAGAATGATGATGCAAATTCCACCTCAAGAAATGAACACACTTAAGACTGTTGAATCACAGATCTGTACCTCTGAAACAAATAATACATTATATGTTAAAAAAAAAAAAGAAGAAGAAGATAGCCGGAGGGGAAGAATGAAGGGGGGGAAATCAGAGGGGGAGACGAACCATGAGAGATGATGGACTCTGAAAAACAGAGGGTTCTAGAGGGGAGGGGGGGATGGGTTAGCCTGGTGATGGGTATTAAAGAGGGCACGTTCTGCATGGAGCACTGGGTGTTATGCACAAACAATGAATCATGGAACACTACATCAAAAACTGATGATATACTGTATGGTGATTAACATAACATAATAATGAAAAAAAAAAAAGAAATGAACACACTTGCCACTGCAGATATTAAAATGCATTGCATGGTTAAAGTCATTAAAATAGTGTGTGATAATATCTAGGTAGATCAGCAGAATGTTTGTTTTTAAGATCTAGAAATAGACCTAAATGGGTACATAAAAATAGTAAAATAGCATATGAGATCATGGAAAATTGGATTATTCACTAAAAGATACTATATAAAGTTTACAAACTAGTTTTAGGTAGGAAAACAGCTATATGAAATTCAGCTGCTCATAAGCCTGAACTCTAGTTTTATTCAACTCCTTAAAAGAAAATCAACACAAAATGGAAGCAATACAGGAGCTGGCTGATATACTTAGACAATTTTAAACCCTACACATCAAGTGTTTTTCTCTCTCTGTCTCTCTTTGTCAGTGTGCACTGACTACAGGCCCTGGGATTGCTGAAATCAGAAGTACCCCGGATTGTGAACAACTTCAAATGCCTTTCACCCAAGAAGCCATATGGGAATGCAAGCAAGTAGGAATGAGATAAATTTATATCTAACTTATTATAAAGCACCAAATTATTTGTATTATTTCATATTTCATTATAATTAAAAGAATATTTGTAATACTCTTTACAAATGATTAAGTTACACTATGAAATCTTCTAATGTAATTCAACAGTTTAAAAAGTCTGAATAAATAACTGAAGCAGAGAGAGATTATATGCTGTCCCCATTGTCATGTGGCCTCTTAAAGTAATGAATTAATCTTGGGTTACCACAGGCTTCATTCATTACTGGCTTTGGATCTTTGGAACTAGTTACTTAACTTTTCTGAGTTTTACTTCTCTAAATTGGGATAATAACAAAACCCATTCTGTAGGTTTGCTGTGAGTAATAAAGGAGATATGGTGTACATAAAAATTTATTTTGCAGATTGACACATAAAAAAAATCTCTTCAAATAGTAACTCATTTTTTCAGTCTTAAAAGTAAAAGAAGATTGCTAGGAACTCAGAATTTTCTCTTAGAAACTAGTGTGGGATTGCTGGCAAATATTTATCAGAGACATTCTTTACAGTACATTGATACTTTGCAGGGCCAGATTTTTATAAAGATTAGCAGAATTATAGTAATTATCTTAGATGTTTTATATTAATAACCTATTTTCTACAGGTTTATGTGATTTTTCTTTCTCTCCTTCTCTGTTTCATTTCCTGCCTGGTTTATACACTGGCTCGGTGAGGAAAGGCCTGATCTCTCTATGGAGAGAACTTGCTTCTAGATCTGTAAGTGTTTTTGCTCAACAAATGATCAACTGTGACTTTAGATGATTTAAGAATTTCTGACCAATATGTCTAGGAAAGATTGTAAGTGACATGTTATGGTTAACGATTTATTTCTTTACATTGAACTTTATACAATCATGTCATAAGCGTATCCTGGCTTTTGAAATGCCTTTCAAAATGTGTCTAAAATCAGTATTAAAAACACACATGTGGGGCACCTGGGTGGCTCAGTAGGATGAGCATCTGACTCTTGGTTTCAGCTTAGGTCATTATCTCAGGGTTGCAAGATGGAGCCCCATCTAGGGCTCTGTGCTCAGTGTGGAGTCTGCTTAGGATTCTCTCTCTCTCCCTTTCCCTCCTCTCTGCCCCTCCCCTAGTTTGCACTCTCTCTCTCAATAAATAAATAAATAAAGTCTTTTTAAAAAAATGAAGAAAACCTCAAGTGCAAGCCTATTTTTTTTACCATGATGCCATGTTTGTCTTTAAAAAGAATTTCCAAAAGAACATTCCTTGAAGAAGGAAAAGAAAAAGAAAACAGCATAATTCTCATGCTGCAATAACTCTCTAATAAATTTTTAATTGCAGATTTTCATACCTTAGAAGAGCCACAATCACAGTCTTCTCCTAATTCCAGAAGTTGGTTCCCACACACTGGTTTCGTTATTATATTTTTAGGAATTGGCGCTTGCAGTAGGCACTTTGGTTTTTGAGATAAAATGTATTTCTCAAAATGTGAACGGCAGGTTGTACTGAAATCCTTCGGGAATTTTGAACTGTAACCAGAAGAGAAATCATGAAATCTAGTGATAAATTAACATGAGAATCTGACTTGTCTAACTATATCACCTGGTTCAATGGAAATTCCAAATTCAATATCTGTTTAAGACTGCACTATGTTATATGTGGAGGGCGAAAGAGCATAAATAGTACGCTAGTTGGAAAATTGTTTCCCTAAACACTGAGTTTGTAGAACTGGAAGAATTTCCTGTGTGGATTCAGTACTGTCCTAAATGGCAGGAATGATGAATGAGCCTCACCATTTGTGATCACCACCGAGGGCTGAGAGGTAAGAGATAATAATAATGAATTAATGAAAGGGAATAATTACAGACTTAGGATATATTTGGATATATTTATCTTCCTATTCTGAGGACTTTAAGAGCAAGGTATTCTTTTTTATTTTTCTATCCTAAGTCCTTGCAAAGTGACTGGCATTAGAAGCTAATTAATAACATAAAAATGGTTTAGTGATTAGTGATGAAGATATATAAGAATGTTGTCATCATCTTAATTAGATACATATTTTTAGAAAACATATTATTATTTAATAGAAGTTTGTACCTCTTAATCCCCTTCATCTATTTTGCCCATCCCCCTACCCCACTGTCAACCACCAGTTTGTTCTCTGTATTTATAGGTATATTTCTGTTTTTGTCTGTTTGTTCATTAGTTTTTATGTTTTAGATTGCATTTATAAGTAAAATAATGTGATATTTGTCTCTTTCTGTTTGATTTATTTCACTTAGCATAATACCCTCTAGGTCCGTCCATGTTGACATGAATGGCAAGATTTCATTCTTCTTTATGGCTGAGTAATATTCCACTGTGTGTGTGTGTGTGTGTGTGTGTGTGTGTGTGTGTATGTAGCATTTTCTTAATCCATTCATTTATTGATGGATACATAAGTTGTTTTCATGTCTTGGCTATTATTTAAAAATATGTTATTTAATGTTAAAATTATTTTAAGTTAAAATAACATGGTTACTATACTCATAATCTCTAACTTGGCATATTTGGAAATCTTAAATAATTAGCCCTGATAAGCTGGTAAAACCTGTGCATCAAGAGTCTATAGGGTGAATTAATGGGATTCACAGCCCTTGGTAAAAAATACCCATTCACTATATAGACTGCATCTGAATTCTTTAAGATTTAAGAAATACATATTTTTTCTCAAGGGTGACAAGGTCTCACCTCAGATATTGATTCATCACACAACTCCCTGAGGGACACTTGGTATAATATGGAACATCAGGCATACCAAGGACATGACCCAACTCATGTGACATCACTCCTACAAGAGCCACATTATTCTTTTTCTTAGCCTAGAAAAAAAAAAGAAACATCTATTACTTATATTCAGTTATTTCCTAGTTTAATAAAATACTTCGACAGATGAAAAATAATGAGTCATTAAGCTCCTTTCCCTGTCATGGGCTATTGTAAAATGTTGAATTAACATTTGAAATGGCTGGCTCCTGTGAATCCAACCATTGAATCAATGCTCAATAAATATTTTCTGAGCTAATGAGGAGTTCTTGGTAAACGATGAGTAAATTAAGGTAATTACATTCTTCATAAGAAGTACCATACTGTGTATTCAAAGGCCTCCAAAACCTATTGTCATAATGCTTGACATTGGTAGTACTTGGCCATATGACACCAAAATGTACCTTCTCCGACCTCTCTGACCATTGATACTGAAGATAATTAATTTGAAGTTGGCTCAGGCCACAGAGGGCATCTGGGTTCCCTTTCTGTTCCAATCTTCCTGTTCTTATTCCCTAATACCAACTAAAGAATGAAGATTTCTGGGCAGGCCAATGTAAGGAGATATTCTGTTTTATAATTTAAGGTATCTTCAGTGTAACGATTTACCAGTAGGTTCATTTCTACTTCTATTTACTGACTCAGCAAACATTCTTTGTGTTAACTCTGTATGAGGCATCATTCTGGTCTTCATAGAGGACACAGACTCACAGGGAGCCTTACTATGAGTTTACAAACCTCAATAACAGCAATGGAAGCCGGGGAACACAAGGAATTCGAGGCTGCCATTCCTACACGTCCATTGCTGAAGCCATTTCCACTGTGTGAAAATTACAGGTCTATTGTCACAATCTGAGTCTTTGGAACCATTAGCTTTTGTCAATTATGTTTTAGATTTCCCATGTTTCTCCACCCTTTTTATGTTCACTAGGCTCCAGAAAAGCTTCTGCTATTCCATAGCATTATATGATCACAGATGATCACCACAACCAGGAGTCCATTTTAGTAAACCTGACGTGGGTCTCCACATTCTTACAGGTGAATTCCTAATGGTAGAACTTCAGCCTCTCTGACAACAGATTGGGGAGATACGATTGAACAGAAATCTCTGCCAAGAACCTTTTGGGATAATTCTCCACTCTACCTTCATACACCTGGCCCTGGTCAGCATATGCTCACCTGAGTAGCTGTGCATGGTCATGTATCCTCATTTTCCCCAGGTTAGAACGATGCCAATTCAGAAAGTTGCGAAAGGTGTCACCTGTGTTGGGTACCACCTTGATCTTATCACCATCCGACCAGATTTCCATACCTACCAATGCCACTTGAACATCTATGGTATTATAAATCTGTGGGAAGAGCATTTTTTTTTTCATGAAAATGTCTGAGATTTCTTCATTGTCTTAAATCTTTTGTTCACCATAAGTGATGGATAAATGTATCATGTTTTGAAAATAGAAATCCTAGAAGTTGCTTTTGCTATAGTACAAGTGATTTTACCTTGATGTTAATACTTGCCTGCTAAATTTCCCAAAACTCCTGACATTAAGCCATTGTGACCCTCCCACCTCCTTACTTGGTGAAACCATAGAGAAGCCCCAAGCTTCTATGTGGAAGTACATGTTTACAGGACAAATATCTTACCACATTGAGTAGGTTCATCACATCAAACACAAAGCTTCTTATCAAAGTCAGGTTCCCCTTATACATGTTATACTGTAAAATATGAAATGCAAACATAAAAAAAAGTTGACGTGGTACAGGATTTAACATTTTAAGAAAAATTACACATTTCAACATAAGTAAATGTTTTTCATTCATGTCTGACTTATATAATACTGTGTTTCAACAAATTCTTTTTAAAGGTAAGAAAAAAAGTAGGCATCATATATATTTCAGTGTTTTTCATTTTAAGTTGAAGAAATCAAATTAACAATTTCAATATTTCTAACCATTTCAATATTATTAAAATTTGATTATAAAGCAATATTTGCTAATTTAGGATCACAGATTATAGTATTTTTATGGATATAAATATAATTTGTAAAATATATATAGTCTTGTATCTACTCTATATTTACATAATAGGGTGAGAATTTTGAAAATATTTTAATAACCCATTCTTTTTTTGTTTTTCATCATTATGGTTGATTTCTTATAGCTATCTGGTATTAAGTATACTTCCAATATCTGAATATATTGGCAGCAGGTGGATATTAAAGGGTTGGAGAGTGAATGAGAACTACTGGCAGCAAGGCAGGTAGAAAAGATGTGACAATCAGGTGGCCAGAGTGCATTTTCAGCTAGGATAGCTTATTTCCTTTGCTCATTTGATAAGAAAACTTAAAAGTTGACTTAACTGCCCAAGAAGCATACATACTCACAAAAGCATTATCCAGCACCAACAAGAGATCAATGTACTTCTCAGCCTGAAGAAAGTCTTCTTGCTTTACAAAGAGTAAAATAACATCATTAATAATCATCTTTATCCTAAAAGATTGAAAAACTTGCAATGAGATTTTTTTTCCAGAGGGAAATTAAGTTAAAGAATAAGTAAGTGAATTATAGGCTTTACCTTTGCAGTAACTGTTGAACACAATGGTATACCATATATCATTGTTGAGATAATTGGAAGAAACGATGACATAGGAAATATACACTTACCTCTGGGCTATTGAGTGACCTGGAAGTTCGAATATGGCCTTGTTTCCTGCCAACACTTCTTACACCACAAGTGCGATTAGCCAGGTCTATCTCCTCTTGGTTATGTGTGAGGACAGCATGTTCTTCTTGGTCTGTGCTTTTCAGAGGCTTTATCATATATCTTTGGTCATGATGTGTGAAGTATCCCCTGTAAGATACAGAGACTCATATTTCAAGATTCTCTGCCACACAGAGTCACAATAATGACCAGAACAGAATATACCTCTCCCTAAATCATAAGCTCACACATACAGTTTTCATGCATAGGCTTTCCAGCTAACTTTTGCTAATTTAAGTTATAATCAGTACTTGTCAATAGTAAAATGAAGTCTATATTATTTACTAGAAAATTCTGAACAAGAATTGCTAAGATGAAGCTATCCCAGAGAATTTAGAATTTATATCATAAGCTCAATAAATAGTTGTCCATAGTTTATTTATACACTTAGCAAACATTTCTTGGCAGGTCCTAGGAATATCATGGAGGACAGAGTAAAGAAGTGTTTAGATGCTGAGAACCCCAGAGGAGAGAAAGAATCATGAGCAAATCAGCCAGAGGAACAGGTTGGAACTAGTAGTAGTTTAAAGAATTCTTCTTTTTAGTAAGAAAATGAGTTCAGAAATATAAAGTGAATTCATATGACAGAGGACTACAAATACAGCATGGATAGTCATTAAAAATTACGTCTATGAAGGCATTTTATGATATGGGAAAAGGCTTATGATACCACATGGCATGAACTATGTTAGAGGAATAATTATATATATTTTATTTCATATTTCAACCATGTAAAAGATATATGTTTATATGCATAAAGGCTGCAAACATGACAAAATGTTAATGATAGTAGTCACTCCTAAGCAGAATTTTGTGGTAGTTATTTTCTTATTTGTATTTTTTCTTACTTTCTAAATTTTCCCTAATTGGCAAGAATTATTTTTGAAAACAGAAATATCACACACGTGCATGTGCATGTGAACGCATACACTGTTAAAAATTATGTTAAACATAATTATAAAATGATTGCAAGTGTGATACTTTAATCTTCATTTTAACAGCATTTTATCTATGCAGAAGATTTCACCAAGATAATAAGACATGACATCCAGGAAGACTCAATTCTGTGTAATAGAATTGTACTTAATGTTTAATATTTTTGCAAGTGACTCACCTCAAACCATTACAAGTACTAATGCTGGCAACAGAATCCTTTTCATTTAGTATGTGTCCATTATAGTAGCAATGTTCCTAAAGATGGGAAAGAAATATATTTTTTTAACTATAAGAATAAACATATCACAGTGTGGTGAAAGCTGTTATTTTGAATACATAGGAAGGTTCTTCAAATAGTGGTGGCAGGCAGACCAGTTACCAGAAACAAAAACAGTGAGAACTTCAGAGATTTTATGACCTGTTCCACTACTGACCCTGGAAATTCCATCTTTGATGGCTGAATTGTCTTTCTGGCATTAATTGCATGATAGAAAAGTCCAAGGAGTGTGAACTTAAGTGGGCTCATGGTGAAAGTAGTTGCTGCATCTGAGAAGGGCCCAGCCCTCCTGGGATCGACAGTACTTACAGAGAGCTCTCAGGTTTGAAGACCCTCTTTTGAGAATATGGCTTCCCTGTGTGAGTCCCTAAGACACTGTGCATCACATATTAATAAAACGAGGTACCTATTTTTCTAGATTCCAGGGTTCTCAAGAAGTCACACTACCACTCCTAAGCCCCTCATGGGGCTGGTCCAACTTGTCATTTTAATTGGCATGTTAGTGGAATCCCTTTACCAGCATCAAAACCACAGCAAATTTATTCACAACTAGAGAGTCACACATGGTTGGTGCTCCATATAAGCAAAGTAGGGGGTCACATGTAGAATGATCCAACAAAACTATTGAATAAACTCTTGTTCAAAATAAACTGACTTGTTTTCGGGTCTGAAATTCCATCTATGTTTTTCTTGATTTGGAATAAACCTTGTCATCATAAACATTTTCTTGTAGAGCACTTGGAAAAGATACCAAATTAAGATATCAGCCATTCACACTTGAGTATGAATTAATTTAAGTGTTAAAAAATCCAGATATCCATGAAACCAGAGATTTTATGTGAGAAGGGAACAAAGAGCCATTTTGTGACAGAAGTTTTGCCTTTTCATAGAGACACACATGTTTGGGGGTGCCCAAGGAGAGTGGCTCTGAGAAATTCACTTAGCTTGGTAACACTCCATGATTGTCTTTTTGTATTCTCTTCCTGTTCTTACCTTGGCATTGATTTTCTATGTCTGACATCTAGGCCTTGGCATTATCTATGGCATGGTGGTTTAATGAGACATAAAATTATATTAATTAAATAATTAATATTCCATTTCTGACCTCAGGATATATACACATATTGTTCAAAAATAGTAAATAGCTATATGATGTTTCAAGTAGCTACCAGCAGAATATTTCTAACCTTTTGATAAGATGGTTTAGAGGAAAGTGGACTTGTGGTTGCTTCTACAAATGCAATACTTGGAAGCCTCCTACTATCCTTACCTTTAAAAAAAAGCTGACTGTGATTTTTTCATCTTTTCATCTGTTGTCTCATTGGTCATAGACAAGCACCTTGTTTCCAAGTACTTTGATTTCTTTTTTAATTGTCCTCGGACCTATGCATCTTACAACATAAGTGGTAGATCCTAGAAAGAGTCCCAGAAAGTATTCAGAACCTACCATGTTCTGAGGGCTTGTAGTGATTTCCTCTCCTGTGGGTGAGTAATATGTTTCAGTGTAGTCTGGCCGCAGGAGATGTCTGCAAAGTTCAAAAAGTTGCAAGGTACATTTAGGGTGGTAATAAGGGCTAATGTTCCTGACAAGATCTTTCGTACTGAAAGAATGATTATGCCTACATTGAGAAACAGCAGACATGCTGACTCATTGATCCTTTTCCAACATTGGAACTCTGTTGCTGAAGCAAATCAAAGTATTAATTATGCCCATTAGATTCAAGGGAAGAATTGCCCCCAGATACTTTTCAGCTGCAAATTCTCTATCCTCAAATGGGTTATTTTGGTATTCTTTGCATCAAAGACTAACATGCATAAAAGACCATTGTTATCAGGGAGAAGTTTACTAACAGATGTAGAATTTAGTGGAGCCCCATCCCCAGGGATCTATCTCAAGGCTCTACGCCCTAAATGACCCTTACATACGTTCTTATAAAAATAATAGGAAGCCACGTCAAAAATTTGAGTTCATATGGGTAGAAAAGATTTTCAGTAAATTGGGAGAAATATTAAGGAAGAAAAATATTTATCTGTGTTGCTCTCTTTGCTTTATACTTTGCATGTAATTTCCTTAGAAAGCAACAACCTTCTTAGCTAACATTAGCACAATCTAATAACATCTAAAACTCAAAGTGTTTCATGTCTTCTACCTCAAATAGCATTAAATAGAGTCTCAAGAAGGTTTATTTTTCCATATTCTGTTAATATAATCTAGTGATTAGGCCTTCAGGAACTACAACTTACTTGCTTTTTTGCAGGTGAAGAACAACTTCTTCTCCATTTAATGTAATCTGATACTGAAGTTCAGGTTCATATCTTTCCTAGAAAATATTTAATAATATACTGATATCAATTTATATTTCTGAGTCTATCTAAAATGATTATAATACAATGATACACGTAGTATATATAGAAGAATAATTACAAGTGCCTGTAGTATAAAATAGTTCTCTTATATATTTAAAATATATAAAATAAAATACAAATTGTACATTAAGATGGATTTCCAAAAAGTATAATAATTCAGTAATAATACTCACAGATTAAACTAACTCTACTATGTAAGATAGGAACTTATTATTTGCCCTACTGTACAGTATACTGTCCTGTGTATCCTAATGGATCACTAATGGTTTAATAATAAGGCACATATTTTTCTTACTTTAAAAACCAAACAAAATATACTAAAGAAAACCAACTAAGAACTACTAAGAATTGTAGCGGGAGGGGAGGAATGAAGCGGGGGAAATCGGAGGGGAGGACGAACCATGAGAGAAGATGGACTCTGAAAAACAAACTG